ATCATTTTGGAAAGATTGATTTAGGAATTTCAATCAACCTAACAAAGATAAGCTTAATTCCCACTTGCCATGCATGCTGGGATATTTTAAGTATGTGTTCTATAAACCAAAGAATCGAGTTTAAATTTGCTGCTTTGCATACATTCTTGCAATGGTTGGGAAGAAAGGAGAATAAAAAAACTGCTCAGGGTATAATTTGCATGGTACATAGACCCTGAAATGCAGGTCCACACAGCAGTTTTGACTCTGCTTCTAATCGCCTGGGGAAAACATGCTTCAGAAAGCAGAAATAATAAGGCCTTGTGATTACTTGCTTTACTTTTGTTATTGGGCATAAGTAAATTGCGTAGAAGAAAACGTTTCTCACAAATTTGATCTCTGAAGGGAACTGGAATATAACTATAGATTTGTTTCCATGAAAACATGGGATATTGTACTCATTTAGTGAATTTTGTAGAGCACTTTAGTAGGTATGTCTGAAAATAAATTTGCTAAACAACAACAACAAAAAAACCCAAAAATATGGCGAGATGGTCATAGAGCTACCTAAATAGTATTATTATTTTTTTGAGACAGGGTCTCCTGCCTCAGCCTCCCAAATGCTGGGACTACAGGTATATACCACCATGCCTGGTAGAGTATCACTTCTTTAAGAATGTTTTAAAAAAGTGTTTAAGGATTGAGTGTGTGTGGTTCAAGAGGCAAAGGGCTTGCCTAGCATGCATTAAGTCCTTGATTCAATCTTCTTTCTCTGTCTCTGTCTCTCTGTCTCTCTCTCTCTCTCACACACACACACACAGAGTGTGTGATAAAAACTTTAAGTTGTGAACAATGGGAAAATAAAATACAGCATGAATTTATTTCCCGGATCTTACATTAGGATGGTGGCTGTAGTTGTGTATTTTATTTAGCAGTCATTTGCTATGCTTCAGCTGCAGAGGATTTAGCCCTGCAGGTTGAATCCAGATAGCTTAAAGGGAACAAGATGAAGTGTACATTCTTAATCATCTCTATCCACTGATGTCACACATCTGTTGAAAATTAGTCACTACCATTACATAACACAACTCACTGCTAAGCTAGGACTTGAGACTCCTCAGGTACCTTTTCTGGATTGTGAAGTCAAGAGGGGAAGGAATGTAAGAAAGGCATTTGCTGGGATTATGCGGCCCCTCCTTCTGAAAGCGTAAACTACATTTTCCCTTTGCTGCTACACTGGAATGTGAATGACAGCTACGGCTCACAGCTTAAACAGATATTGACTACTGGAAGACTTCAGATTCTGAGTGGAGAGAATATGACTGTCAAAGACATGACTAAATTAAAATGACCTTTCCAAGACTTTTTTTTAAAAAACTAAGTGTAACAGTTAATATTATTCTTAGAATATAAAATTAACTAAATTAGGAATTCTTTTTACTGTTGGTTGTGGGGCTTGAACTCTAGGCCTGGATACTGTTCCTCAGCTCAAGCCTTGTACTCCACCACTTGAACCACAGCACCACTTCTGGTTTTCTGGTGCTTTTATTGGAGATAAGAGTCTCATGGACTTTCCTGCCTGAGCTGTTTTTGAACTGTGATCCTAAGATCTCAGCCTCCTGAGTAGCTAGGATTACAGGCATGAGCCGACATCCAGCTAGGGATTTTTTACCCTCCCAAAGGTATTCTCCTTTTCCTCTTTGGATTACTCACTAGAACTTATGGTATGGATGAGAGAGAAGCTATTACACAAATCCTACAATTTATAATGCACTACTTAAAACTTTACTTAGTCCTGAATGGTGACTGGCTGGAGGAGAAGCAATGCTGAGAAGCAGGTGGTGGAGTGGTAGAGATAGAGGTGGGTACTCTCACCAGAGATAGAAATCATGGCTAATGACATAAAGGCATAGGGACAAAGGCAGGTTCTTCTTGACACACTCTGAGTAAGCCAACACAACACTTCCCGTGCCACTGTGAGAGTTCTGATTTTTTTGAATTTTTTAAATTGTGAAAAATACGGTAAGGGGGGGGGGGAGTTACAGTTACATGAGCAAGGTAATGAGTACATTTCTTATCAAGCATTGTTGCCTCCTTTGTTTTTCCCCTACCATCCCTTCCCTTCCCTTCCACCTCTACAACTACACTCCCCTGCTCCCTAAATTGTAAAGTTCATTTTTTGACATAAGTCTCGTACATCTCATTGTTGCAATAGGTCAACCTGTATCCCTATTTAAACATTTTGTTTTTCTCCTCCCCTCTCCAAATTATACCAACATCAAATATAGTGAAAACAGGAGTTATACTATGGGGGAGGAACATACAAAGCAACAAAAAAAATGACATGGTACATTATAAATACATTAGAAACAATAACAAGAAAGAAAAAAACCACTTGAGTCCTT